TGCTGCTGAGTGAGTCACCATGTGCCTCTGAATTCAGGGAAAATGGAAATGAGCAAAGTAGCAGCGAGTCACTGCTCTGACTATTGTGCTGTGACGCTCAGACAGCTGTGCACACTCACACGCCATGACACCTAAACTGCTCCTTTTTTAGATTCTGATTCAATCTACATGATTATTTTATTCCAGAAACTAGAAATTTAAAGCAGTCCAGACTTTACAAGAACAACTGCTCCCATCCTCTTCGCACCGTCAGCCTTTTAGGTCAAATTTAAGACACATTTCTGTTCTGATCAAACCAACTCCAAACACATGTGCACATCCCAGCGCAGGTTGTGTATAATGCAGCGACATTCCTAAACAGAGTCCAGTTTCACATAAACAGATCAGCCCCCAGTTTGGGAAAAACAGCTTCCTCCAAACACAGTCAGGTACGACACGAAGGCAGAGTTCATGGGAACCAAAGACACTAAAAACATTTACAGACGGGAAAAAAATCTGTATGAAAGGAAAATTAGACAAAATCAAATGAACAATATCTTCTGGATAAAATCTATGAAATCCTTATAAAAACACCAGGATCAATACTAAGAGGTGTATCAGTTTACATATAGACAGACACTCTGTTTAGTAGCTCTTACTATCTGATCATGATGTGGCGCAACAAAATATTATATCACAAGAGACATCTGCAAACATCTCTTTACAACAATTAATCATTGAAAATCACTCACAAAATTCTCATTTTAGATATGATGAAATATGAGAAAATATCAGAGATTTCCCTTCAGTGTCAAAGATAAAATATACAGATATATGGGAAAGGTGTCAAAACTTCTGCTGAAAACTAATGTAAACGTGCAATGACATGTGCTCAAAGATAAAAACAATAATTTCTCGTTTGAGTGTTTTTACTTCATTGACTTTAGTTTTTTTTTTAATCCAACTTTAACAAGAATATAATCAGCTGTTCCCATTCCTCATCAGCTGAACCACAGTTTGTGAGGATTTTGTTCCATTTCACAGACCATTACAGGTCTGATGGATTTCATTCGCCCTCCATCTATAATCCACGGCATGACTGTCTGTTTGAAGGGTACTGGGACACCTTTCAGCCCACCCACTCACTCAGCAGCAACAGCATCCCCCCTCTTTCTCCTCCACAGGCTCACCTCAGAGGTGTGTTTTATCACCTTTATTGTTCATGCTTTACACTATCGACTGTAAGAAGATGTTTGAATCGAGGTTCTTCTGCAAGACCATGAGGATGGACATGATCCTGTTCTTGACTATTTTGTTAGATGGTGTGACGATTCTTTACTGCAACTTAACGTGTCAAAATCGAAAGACATGATTCTTGATTTCCATAAGAATCAACCTGCCACAGCTCAAACCTTTGTTCAGCTGTAGAAGTAGTCCGTCAGTACGAATACTGAGGCACCATCCTGGATGACAAACTGTCGTTTGAGACCAACTCAAAGGCAAATCAGAGGTTATTTTATCTGAGGAAATTGAGGCATTTTAACGTTGACATAAAAGCTTCTTAAAATGTTTTACTCTTTTAACCTTTTCTATGAGATGTCGGTTTGGTAATCTCAGTATCGCAAATAAAAATAAGCTGAGGAACACTGAAACTTTGCCAAAAAGCTAATGGCATGAGTTTTAATGATCTTGGCCCTATTTTTACATCCAGAGTCACTCAGAGGGCAAAGGTCATTCTGGCGAACCCCCTCCATCCTCTCCAGACAGAATTTCATCTTCTCCCGTCAAAGAGAAGGTTCACTTTTACTCACAAAGCCAAATCAAACAGGTATCTCAAATCCTTCGTCCCAACAGCTGTTAAGTTTTAGGAATAAACTGTAGGTAAGATTGAAGGGGACAATACATCCATGAAATCATGCTGACTCTGTGTGTTTACATGTATTTATTTATATTATTTCTGCTGTATGCAGGGCTGGGCAATGTGGGAATAAGTTTATCATGATATATTTTTTTCATATCAGTCGATTTCGATATATATCACGATAAAAAAAATGAAATTTAACAGTGTTTATTCGTAGCATGTCTTTTGCAATGTCGTCATCTGTTGAGCCTTCATGGTCATTTCTCTCGGGGTAGCACTCATTTCCTTTTTTTTCTCACCGACAGCGCTGTCGGCTTCATGTGTTACAGTGCGATTGTTACGTGTAGCTGCTGTCTGCTTTGGAGGACCCGGAGCAAATCCCCTTTTAATGGACTATTCGTATAGTCGACCAAAACATGGCAGAGTGCCGACTATCGAAAAGCATACTGACCACGTTTTATATCACAAGATATATCGAGGTAAATTAATTTTCGATATGTATCGTTATCGTTTAATCGCCGATAAAACAACAACGTGTGTTTTATCTTCTGTTGCAAAAGAATGGGACATTACAGAATTACAGCTCCTACCTTCGATGGCGATGACATGCTCCCGGATCTGGTTCTGTAGCAGCGGCTCCTCCACCCGCTCCAGCAGCTCGTAGATGGAGTAGATGTTGGGGTGGACGGACTCGAACCTCTGGATTTCGGACCGGATAGCGGCCGAGTTGGCCAGATGCTGCTGGTAGTTCATCACGGCGACAATTTCCACCAGTGGATCCCAGAATAAAGACGCGTGTGTGGGGTGTGTGTGTGGGTGAGTACAGGTGAGGAAGGTGACAGCTGTGACCTCCAGGAACTCCAGGGAAACCTCAGATCATGATTTCACCTCTTAATCCAGACTGAATTAACTCATCAGTGTGTCATTAAATGTAGTAACAGGGTGTGGAGAGTCTGTCCTGCCTGAGGAGACAGTTTTTTCGTCCTCTACATCCCTGGAAATGTCCCCGCAGTGTCGGTGCAGCTTTGTCCGAGCAGAGGGCGGTCAGTCTGCTGCTACTGGCCGGTGAAAGCAGCTGTTCCCCGGGGCGTCCCGGTACCCAGTCCCGGTGCGGTGACAGATGTGTAGCAGGCTGAGTAATGCTTCCCCATATCCTTACAGGCCCCGTGTGAATAAAACGACACTTCTTCCTCCGCTCCGGGTGGATTTAACAAGCTTTTACACTCACTTTAGTCGTTAAATGGGATAAAAAAACGGCCTTGTTGCTAGGTGGCTAAAGCTATCCGGCTAAAGCTAACTAGCTGTAGCTTCCAAGCCGGGGGAAAGGAGGGAAGAGCTGACCGTTTTCCAGCCGTTAAAGTCCGCCTTACGGAGCGGCGAAGTGGGACGTTAGAGCCCGACAGAGGAGACTCGGTCCGCCGTGTGAAGAGGATAAAGTCCGGGGCAGCTGGAGCGGTGTTTCAGCCTCCAACTGTTCGGTGTGCAGGAGTTCGGATGCCTGTTCCCGTCCTCCTCCGTCCCTCCTCCGTTGTTTTGTCTCCGGGACACAGCTGCGCAAATTAACGTCCTCAGTCTGCGCGAGACAAGCGCGGGGCTCGTGCGCCTGCCGAAATTAGACCGAGTGTTGCTAGGCGACACGTTTTTTCACTGGTAGGTCCCGCACGCGGCGCCCCGGGTGTTCATCCGTTCCCGTGTTCCCGTGCTGTGAGGTCCATCCCGGGTACACCACCGGAGCCACAGGATCCCGACCGGGAACGTCATTACCGTTCAATGTGTTTCCTCCCCGAAGTGTCAAGTTAAAGCTACTAGAGGAGGAGAGTTCCGGTTAGTATTTTCAAAATAAAACCAAGCAACCATCCGTAACTACACTGCACTTTCACAGCTGGACATAATAATAATAATACGACTCAATCCACGACAATACCTCAGATTGGACGCAGACATTTTCACATTTTTGACGAAAATCTATTATTTGGTTTTATATCCCACACCAATAATTGATGGTTAGGTTGAATAGTTTTATCTTGTATTGCCAACGTATACTTTCATTTAAGTCATCAGGGACATGACAATATAGGTGGTGTCAACTAAAAAAAAACTATATTATCTGTCACAAAATGATAAAATTTCGCTCTGATTTTTACACAGCATTAAGAAAGACTTTTCAATGTATATATAAAGCTGTTTAAATATTAATTCTGGTGACCTAACCGATTAATTATACATCTTAAGAAGTGAGAGGGACTCAAATTGTGCTATTTTACTGGAATGACTCATATATTCTGTAGTTGATGGTTAACAACAGATGTCCAAGTGTACACACCAGATCAGAGAAACATAATTCAAAAAATATTCAGGTGACAAAAGTGAGGAAAAAATACAACACAAAAAATAAAAATAAAAGAAATACAATGACACCACGGCACTTTGATGAAGACAATCATTGGATGGGAACAGCAGAATGTAAGGTTACAATATTTATGAAAGAAAGAAAAAAACAACACTGAGTTAAAGTTTTTGTAAATTATTTTTCTTAAATATTTTCCTTTTTTCTTTTTCCCATTTGAACTTTTAATAAAGGGTGATTAGATGCTCAATACTGAAGCGCATTGTAATGAAGTCATGACTCTGCTGTTTTTCATGTCATATCTTGTATAATATATGTTGTGCTAAGTAAGGAATGTCCTGTCCAGTTTCTGTACCAAGCAGTTCTATCATTCAATAAAAAAAAAAAATAATAAATAAAAATATATTTAAAAAATACAATATTAAAAATTTTAAAAAATAAAAAAATATATAAAAAACAAAATATTAAAAAGAATAAAAACAAAATGTTAATAAAGTAAGTATCTATCTATCTATCTATCTATCTATCTATCTATCTATCTATCTATCTATCTAACAAACAGAATATTAAATCTTGAGTTTGATGCTTTTATTTTGTAGTAAACATTCCGTGTATTCCGGTCTTCTTCGCGTTAACCTCCACGTGCTTTATGAAGCGATATTCAAGGAGCCGCTTGTTGCGTAAAGGCTGCGCAAAAATCCCTACGCAAAAATAAACCTGTCACATTTCCTTCATTGAATTTTTACAAAGAAATGAAAATGAGAGATCCTTCAAAATAAAGCTGCTCTGTTTAAAAAGAACCAGCAGAACATGGAGAGATAAAACAACAGTGTTTATTTGTTATGTTGACATGAACATAATCACATCTGTTTTTTTGTAAATATTAAAGATCCTTCAAAATAAAGCACCTTCAGGAGTTGTGGGTGGTGTTTGGACCTCATTCACAGAGTCTGTTTTTTGTCAGTTCAGTTCTGCTCCAGCTCTCTGCTCCGGCCTCATTGTGTTGAAGCTGGAACTTTCTCTCCATCCAGCAGTAAAAAGTGCACAATGCCGCTCCTCTTCCTCCCACTGCTCGCCGCCTTGATGCAGCATTCGTGTTCCCCCAACATGAAGTGTGTCTCTGTGCCGTCGTCCACAAACTCTCCCTGTGGGACATGAACTCAGTGATGAATCCTCAGAGTTTCACTGTACACTCAGACGTTACTTTCTTTTATTTCTTTGTTATGGTTCAAATCTGATTTTCAGATGTTTGATGTTTCTACTTTCATATCATACTTGAATCTTGGTCACACTCAGGCTCAGAGTTTGGAGGATTTCTTACCTTTGTGTCCATTTTCTGCCCGTTGCACCAAACGTCCATGGTGTCCTTTTCTGATAACAAGAGGAGAGGAGATGTTTCAGTGAAGGAACATTTCTCTGTTTCATAATAACACACTGCTGTTACACACAGCTGAATAAATTAAATCATGCACAGCGGTTTAGAGCGGCAGCAGGCGGATGTTTCCTTAAATAACTGCTCCACTCTCACCCTGAGCAGATTAAGCTTCAGTGGGTCACCTGCCCTCCTCCTGCAAACACTGAGTGTTTTGCAGTTACACAATCAACCTGCAGCTAAACGTTCCACTCTCACCCAGGACCACCCTGCAGTCCTCCCCGTCCACCTTCAGCAGCCAGGTCTTCGTGATCTTGGCCCTGTTGTCGGTGAACTTCTGCAGACTCTTGCCGTCCACCTCCAGCGTGTACTCGTAGGCGAAGCCGCTGATCGCCTCGATGAAGATGGTGGCTTTGGTGTTGGAGCTTCCAACCGTGAAGGTTTCCTGTCCGACCAGCTTGAACATCCAGTCCTTCCTGATGACTTCCTGCACGGGGAACAAGTCGTCTGCTGTCACCACAGGGACAAAAACCACCTGCTGCAGTGTGTGCATCAATTCATTCACTCACTCATTCATTCATCAGATGTCTCAGCAGGAACAGGAAACTAAAACTCTGCATGGACTTCGATCAGATAGTTGTACCACAGGGATTATGAACCCACCTGAAGGTTACCTGAGGTCACAAAAATACTGAAATTTTAGTCTCCAAACAAACATAAAGTATATATTCATGAGGCGAATATCATGGGTGGAAGGGACCATCTACACAAAGAAGACACTGTAAAAGAGTGTAATGATTTCACTCTGGTCGGGTCCAAACCTCCCTCAACCCAAGGGGAACAAAATCCAGGCGTCAGCACCTCTGTGGATCCCAGATTAACACGCTTGTTTGTTAAATCTGAGCATTGGATTATGTAATCCATGCTTAACTAAAATAACCGGCAGCTGTTTGGAGCTTTATATAAGGAACCTTCTCACCAAACAAACACACACAAACACACAGAAGGTGCTACTCCTTCACCTCCAGATAAACGTCTAAACAAAGCCGTTTATTCGCTCTGGATTAGACTTCAGGAGAAATCAGGACTTGAATTAAAGATAGAGAAAGTTTTGGTTTGTTTTTTTCAGAATCACAGGGCGAACAGATGAGTTGCAGCTCCATATTTTGCTCCTCCTCCAAAAAGTGATTTCAAGATTTTAATCATAATCTTTAAGTGTTTTGGGGGGGGTCTGTCTGTGAGCTTCAGGACAGTCCACAGTCTGGGATCCTGCTCCGTCCAAACAGGACACTTCAATCTAAAACTGACTTCAGCATCAAACTCTGTTTTCAGTGGTGCTACGAACAATAATCTCAAATATGGCTGATTATTATTGTCTGTCAGAGTATTGTTGACATGTTTTTTTCTTATATATATTTTCTTTATGTGTCTATTTTTCAAACCTTTCGACTTTTAGCTTTCATTTTGTTTTATTTAATCTGTCATAGTCGTCTCTTAGTTTGGTTCAAAATTCTTCTTTCTGCTGTTTTGTGTGTTTAATGTTTTTTTTTGTCAGATCTTTTTTAAAAAGTGATCTCTAAACACTCATTTTTATCATCCTTATATGTTTCTTTCTGCTCTTTCCTTCACTTTTGAACTCGGCTGAATTTTAAAACTGGTTGCTGTTTTTTCTGAATGAGGTGATGTAACTCCGCAGGGTCACACAGGACAGAGTATTTGTGTAAAAACTGATTTTTTAAAACTTTTTCCAGATTTTTCAGAGAAACTCTGTCCGCTCCCTCTTTGTTCAGACTCTAAAACTCTGAAAATGGAACAAAATCTGCTTTAAGAAAGAAACTTCACCACCCGACCATCTGACAAACTCACAGTCTCACCTGTCCGTTGACATGAACGACCCGTTTCCCTGTGGTGGTTCCATGAGCGAACTCGACCCGGTACACGCCGTCACTGAGAGCCACCTCCCACACGGCGACCAGATCCCCGGTGAGCATGTCGGAAAGAGCCGAGGTCGGTGAGAGTCACAGAGTCATCCCCTCAGAGCTGCACGCCGGCTGAAGAGGTCATGTTATGGAGCTGTTTGTCGGTGCGTTGCTGCTGCGGCGGTGGCGGTGGCGGGCCACGGTGTGGGCTCAGCAGCAGGTGCATTACTGTAAGAGGCTTACGGGCGTGAGCTCACTCAGCACTGTTAGCCAATTAGGACAAGCTCTGCTGTTATCTGGGCCTGTTACAGGAAGATGAACACGTATGAGGGAGAAGTTTGTGTAACGGGAGGTCGGTGTGTAGGGGCTGACCTCTGACCTTTACATGAGGGGAGAAGGTCAGATAAGGAGATGAAAACATTTATACTTTTCTCTTTTTTCTGCAGCTCAAAAATAAACACTTTTCTTGAAGGAGAATCACAGAAATAGAGACAAAAGATCATGGAGAGCACAGGTGAGCAAAACAGACGCCTCAGCTTCGATGGAGAAGTGAAGAAGAGGAGGACAGAGGAGGACAGAGGAGGACAGAGGAGGACAGAGGGGGTCAGAGGAGCTGGACGACCTGACTCAGATGGTCTGATGAAGGATGAGGATTAGAAGTTCCATCTCCTCTCAGTGACTTCTTCCTTTACTCACCAACAAACATCATCTGCTGCTTACACACACCGCTCTGCAGTCAGGAGGTCAAAGGCCAAACTTGTCAAACAGCTGACTGATCTTTCATTCGTTGAGTCGGTTTGTTCATTCATAAAAAATCCTCCCACTAAAGCTGCAAATCTGCCGAATATCACAGACAGAAAAATGAAAAACTAAACTCAAACATTCATCCTCTGAAATTCAACTTTTCCTTTTTGTCTGACTTTCCAAAGTTCCTTCAAATCTCTAAATGTTTGTTCTCTAACAAATAAAAATGATCAAAAATCAAACATGAGCTCTCAGAAACTAAAACAAAAAGAGTTCTTTCCTGTTGAGGAGAAATTTTGGCTTCTTCTGGTTTCATTTGAATAATAAGTGACTTCTGCCATCTGGTGGTCAAACTACGTATTACAGCCAGCTGAGAATTTGAAACCGAGAAAATTTAGAAGACAAAAACTCTGACTCAACTTCACCAACTTTCAAGGTTCTTGGAGAAAAAGGATCTGAAAGAGGTCAAACGAGCTCCAGCGATACTTGTAGTTTCGGGAAAGCGGCACGTTTCAGTTTGTGGTCTTCATCAGGGTCATCGATGACCCTGATGAAGACCACAAACTGAAACATGTCGGTCAATTAAAACAGAGAACATTCTCATCGAAATATTTGACTCAATCGTGTCAGTTGATTCTTTAAAATGACTTTTAAAGACATTTTCTCTGTTTTTAAGTTCTACACTCTGACGTGTTTCTACGGTGAGGTGAGTCCGCGACCATCTGATTCTCCATCCTGAGGTAAACGCACAAACATGATGATCTGAGTGACGTCAACAGGATCCCTTTTATTGATTATAAATTACAACATGTGGGTAAGAGAAGAGGAGGATAAAGCTTTTCGTACAAAAGGAGTGTGTGTGGAAGTGTAAAATTCACCAATCAGGAATGTGTGCACATGCTCAGACACCGCGATAAAAGAGAGGGAACCCACGAGTCGACAAACACGAGGAAGGAGACAGTTTAAGGCACAACAAGTCGAGCCTGGAACGTCTGATGTGAGGATGGCGTTTCAGAGATTACAGGCAGAAGAAGAAAACAAAGGAACGCCACAGTAACGAGCCAAAACTATCCGGACACCCCAGTCCAAACTTCCGTAAACTGAAGACGGTCTCAACCTCACTGATGCTCTGAAAAAAAGGAGGAAATCTCTGCAGCAGCTCCAACATCAGCGGGAGAAACTGAAACCAGAAAACTGGACATGAATGGAGAGGTGTCCACATACATTTGGCCGTGTACACTCGTCCCAATCTGTACAACAAAGATAATACCCCAGTAACCAAATACTTTCAGAACAAACACAAAAAAGAGATTTATAAACTCATAAAGTCGGTGGATTTTTCTGAACGTGGATTTTATACATGTTTCAGGTGTGAATAAAAAACTAAATGCCTCCGTGGATCGCAGGAAAAGAAGAGACCATGAAGTGTCGGTGGGTGTTTCTGTCCAGTCTGACTGTGTGAGCGCCGATGTGGAGGAGCAGAGCAGCAGTCAGTCAGTCAGTCAGTCAGTCAGGCAGGTGTGGAGCTGCTGCTGCCGCCGGTGTGGATCAGTCCGTCTGACTGCTGCTGCTGCTTTTTGGTTTTGGCACTTTGTCCCCTCGGCCGTGACCTCAGGAGCTTAAAGTATGCAGCAGCGCTTTTTCTTCTTCTTGCCGCTCGGTCCGTTTTTGTCTTTGCTCTCTGCCATTTTCTTCTTGCGGACCTCACGCATGAGGTCAAAGAAAACCTGAGAGAGAGAGGGAGAGGGAGAGAGAGAGAGAGAGAGAGGTGAGAAAAGGCTGTAGCTTTATTCCTCTTCCTTCAGGGAAAATAATGCAGAAGTGAAAACTAGACTTGTGGTGAAGTGCGTGGAGTAAAACCTGACGCCAGTTTGAGATGAAACTGGGTTCAGATATCAGAGGTCATTTTGGATTTATCGCAGTGACTCTTTAACCTGATACAGGACTTCTGATGATATTTGTAAAGATGTTGCAGAGGCAGGTTGAAGAAACCTTGACCTCTAGGAGAAGGTCACCCCTCAACCTTCTTCTGCCTGATATGACCCTGAAAAATTCTCACACACAGAATGACGATGTTAGCTTTCACATCACTGACTGTTCCTCCTGTCAGAGCCTGAGCTGCAGCTCCTCTTTCACTTCGTTGTTCCTCTGAAGGAGGAGCTCTGACTCCCCTGCAGCTCGGTTCACTCACTCTAGGTTCTGGTTTTATGGTTCTTGTTACCTTGTCCACGTTGGCTCTCGTCTTGGCTGAGGTCTCCACGTACTGGACCCCCCACTCGCCCGCCTTCGCTGTGGCGTCGTCGGCAGAAACCTGCCGCCGCTCCTCCAGGTCAGATTTGTTCCCCACCAGCAGGAGAGGGATCCCCTCTTCCTCTTTCACTCTGAGGATCTGCTCCCTGACACACACACACACACACACACACACACAGAGGGAAACACACTAATTTATAGGAAACACTCACTCATTTACTTTAAACGCTGATGATCATCAGATCAGTCATGATCAGGAAATCAGGTTTTCATTTGGACAAAACATTGAGAAACACAGAGGACCTGATGTTGGACTCTGTGGGTTAAAAGAAGGTTTTGGTCAAAACTTGCAGCAAATCAAATGTGAATGTTCTTTAATTATATAATTATAACTCGTTCGGTGAACCAAAGTGCTTTACAATACAAAATAAAAATGGATAAATAAAAACAATAAAAGCAATAAAAAAGAATAAAATACAGTGCAATAAAGTAAAGAGTCACCACACTACTGGGTGTTTAAAGCCAGCATGAATAATCAGGATTTAAAAATGCCCAGGTTGGACATAAGTCTCATTTCGGTGGGGAGTTTATTCCAGAGCCTGGGACCAGTGACTGAAAAGTGTTTTGACCTGGGCACCTCCAGCAGATGTTGGTTTGACGACCTCAGAGCTCTACCCGGCTCCTGAACGGTTAAAAGCTCAGTTAAAAAGATGGAGGCGAGGCCGTTAAGAGCTTTAAAAACAGGCGACGGGAGACGATGAAGGGAGCTGAGGACAGGAGTGATGTTCTCACGTCTGTTAGTGTTGGTTAAAAGATGGGCAGCAGCATTTTGGACAATTTGAAGGTGACTTCGAGATGATTGAGAGACGCCAACATAAAGTTTATTATTTATACATTTTCAGGACAAACTGAAAGGACTGAGAGCTCGATTCCTGCTCCACAGCTGGATGTTCTGTGCAGCTTCTTTGTGGACTTTATTCACCTCTTTATGAGAATTTTCTGATTTTTTTACAAACTGGTCAAAGGTGGACGTTTATGAGATTTTCTGACTGAGCCCCGCCCGCTGTCATGTGCCTCTTTGGTTGTTTTTTTCCTCACCACGCAGAGGTGTGTCTGTCCGCTCACCTGAACTCTGACGTTGCAGTGAAGGACTCGTGCTCTGTGATGGAGAAGACCAGCAGGAAGCCCTCTCCGCTCCTGAAGTAGTTGTCTCTGATGGCGGCGTAGTCCTCCTGACCCGCCGTGTCCAGGATGTCAATCTGGACGTCCTCGCCATCTAGAACCACCTTCTTTCTGTAGCTGTCGGCTTTAGTGGGCTCGTAGTCCTCCACAAACTGTGGCAGAGAAATAATGAAGCATCAGGACACAGAGACTGCAGGGGCTCATGGGAAATGTAGTGTAGAAAACTCACCTCGTCATACATGAACTGCAGAGTGAGAGCAGACTTCCCCACTCCTCCACTGCCCACCATGATCACCTTATGGAGGACCAGAGAGGTCTGGTTCTTGTTTTTGCTTGAGGCCATGACTCTGGTCTGTGTCAGTCCAGCACCTCACAGCTCCACCCGACGACTGAAGACCAGCAGAGACCCGCAGAGACGAGCAGAGACAAGCAGAGACAAGCAGGAGCGTGAAGAAAGATATAGCATTTTTACCTGACATGAACTGAGTCACTGTTTCGCTCACGTCAAACATCCTTTGTAATAAAAGAACGACCATCCTAAAATTGTTTTCACCACAAAAACTTTTCATGAATCAGCCTAAAAATAAAAGCTCAGCTGTTTTTGTCCTGAACTAAATCATTTGAAGATGTTGTAAACCTCTGATTCAGCAAAAACAACCAACAAACATGTGGATTCTCTGGTTTTGTCAGAATTCAGGGTCTGAAAAGACGGTTCAGATGTGGAAGTGAAGCCCGACAGAGTGCTGAGTCTGCCGGAGAGCCTCAGGGACTGATGATGTTTGTAAGAAGAGGCTCAGGACTCACCTTTTTAACCAGGCTTCTCACTTATTACCTTTTTTAAATTTCTCTAATTGCAAATGTTCATTTTCATCAAAGTTTTTCATGTTTCTTTTATGTCATTTTATTAATCATCTCTGTTCTTAGTCTTTTTTACTTCTTTTACCCCTTTTACATGGTACAAAGCTTTTACTTATCTGTTCGTTTAAGATTATTTTCTTGTTTTAGTCCAGCAGGTTTTACTCTTTTTAATCTCCAGTATTTCCCAAAGGTAGCTCTTTCCTCACGTAATGCCTCAGTGTCAGGTCATATCTCTTTAACAACATATCTTAAATTCTCACACTGTGTGCTTGTTTGTGTGTTTGTGAGATTCAGGTTTTATTGTTGTTTTTAGCCTCTTTGAGTCACTTTGAACCACATTTTTAGTCTGAAAAGTTTCATAAAAATAAAGTTGAATCAGTAAAGACCCTCAGTGATAAAATAACCTGGTCTTTCTGTCTGTGAGGGTCTTTTTCTGTGTGACCCCCTGACTCTGCTCTAACAGATGAAGAGCCCCCCTGATAAAGACCCACTGTAAACACTCTGCTGTGAAGTGCGTGGAAAAAAACCCACTTGTCAGTGACCTTTGAGGGTGAATCTAATGCGGGCTGCAGACACACCAACATGAGGGCAGAAACGGGAAGGAGCTCAGATCCAGAATTTAACTAAAGGTAGAGCCAACTTCAGCTCAAAATCAAGTAATAGTGAAAATCTCCTCCAAAGAGGAACTATAACTCCTCCTGTCAACACCGAACTTCAGCTTCCTCTCTGTTTCAACCAGCTGACAGCTGGAAACAACGACTTTCGACCACTGCAACTCTTCCCGGTTCCCGCCTTCCAGCTCATACCCGCCTGTGATTGGCTAAAAGGCTGGTGAGAATTCGTCTTCCTCTCTTGCTATTGGCTGCTGTGATGGTCACTCACCACACTGATAGCTCCTCAGACACAGAAAGATAACGCTTTCTGTCTTCTTCACGAAAAACTACTTCAAAACATCCAAACGCCAAATCCGAGGTGGTCTAAACAACACAGAAAGAGTCACAGAACTCACCTGCTAACGTGTTTTCCAGAAGTTTGAGCAGAAATCCGCCATACACGGATACACACTCAACTTTTACGAGTTGACCAGGAGACTCTCTGCCCCACCTTGTACCCGGACTCAGCGAAGATTGTCTATTGAAAGCAGATGAGCCACTCTGTTACTAAAGAAAAACCTATCACACGGTGCTAGCATAGCCGTTACCAAGACGACAGATTCAGCGAGTGTCTGAAATGCAGCTACGAACGGTCTCTGTTCAGTTTCTTCAGCTCACATTCACATGAAAGTCAAATATCTGAATATAAACGGACACAAACTGAAGCTAAATGAAGCTAATCCCGATTTTTTACTCCACAAACGGACGGACTCGGTTAAAAAAAAGAAGCAGAGTGGTACCTCTTGTTTTTTCACTTCTCTCAGAGGAGATTGACAGGATGTGGCGTCACGGAATTCCTTCTGTTCGTTCATTTTTATTTATTATTTTTTTAAATTTATTATTTATTTATTATTTGCGCATTTTAAAACCGTTTTAAAACCATATTACGAACAGAATTAAAACACCTACTTTTTTCGTAAAAACAAAAATATTTTCATATAACGTAATTTTTTAACCAACGCTGTAAAAGATTTTCTCAAGTATATTTTCAAATACAGAGATGGAAAAAAGGCTTTGCTCAAAATTAAATACTTTTATAAATTTTTAAAAAGTAATTGTCCCACTTTTATTCCGTGTTTTCTTTTTTTGTGTGTCTCCTGTTGTTGTCCGTATAGGGGAGACCGGGGTAAGATGAGCCATAGGATAAGTTGAGCCACCCCCTGTTGTTTGGAAATGGTCAAAGAAATTGATCATGTGACCAAATATTTAGGAGATGGACATCAATTCATGGAGTTTGTGAAGGTTCGAAGCACATGGGTGAAGGGGTTAGACATTTATTTACAAAAGTGAAAATTAGTCTGTCATCAGTTTGGTTAGAATTGTGTTCAGACCAAAAAAGATCATTTTAAATTTGTTTTTTACATCAATTGTGGTTTCTATGAGCTACAACATGAGGTCAAAAACCTAACATAAAAGTCCACCATTTTAGCTCAGAGGACTAATAAAGTCATCATAGTAGTTCAGGGTAACTGAGAAAGTAACCCCATACACGGGGTAAGTTGACCATAGGAGACCACTTTTTTGGCATGCTATATTCTCAAGATTACAGTTCTGTTTACACTCATTCTGTTGGTTTTTCAGGGATGCACAACATCCTGAAATATCTGCAGATACACGAGTTAGAGACAAAACGATGACTGTCTTGATGTAGTGATCTGAAATATGAAAAGTGGATCATCTTACCCCACTCTCCCCTCCCCTGTAAAGGTGTTGGCTCACTCTGCTGCTGCAGCAAATGTTTGTAGTTCCAGTATTTAGCAGAAAGGTGTCGCTGTTTCATTACTTTACACATCGCTGGATAAACGGAGCAGATCTCTGAAGATTTCTCTGAACTCAAACACAAAAGAAGTGAGGTGAAAAACACAGACATTCAACATGCCCGAGTTTAGATGTCCTCTGAGCTCATTAATAATTAAGAGTCAGTGTTTTTTTTTTTTATGTCGCGTCCCTGAAATTCAGCAGAAATGTCAGATTTAGGACTCCGATTTTTGTGATTTGGATGAAACAACAAACACGATGATGAGTTGAAACAAACAAATAAAGAGGGTCACACGAGGAGAAAAACACACCTGACCTGATTCTACACTCCATGTTGTTTTACCTTATGATAATCGCGGACCTAAAGGTCAAAGGTCACCTCAGCCCCATCTCTTCTTACAGCTGCCGTGGAGCTGATTTGGTTCGGAGTTTTTACTAACAAATGCCGTCGTCCAGACGCCCTACAATATCAGCTCAAAGTGGACACACACAGGCTCCCGATGAGCTGTCGTGGATCAGGCTGGATTTGACTACACTGGCTCAGACTGTTTGCATACGAGGAGGTCTTTGAGGTCGAAAAGTCGCTAAAATACTTCAGTGAAGCGACGGGTCATCAATCACAATCAGAGTAGATTCTCATCCTTTTAGAGTTCACTATAAAGTCAACAGTGTGGTCTGGATTTAATGCACTCGATATGTTTGATTCTTCATGTTTACTTCAGTTTCTGTGATGAGTGGAGATGAGTCGGAGTCATTCTCTCTTTGTTCTATGTTTGGGGTCGATCTTTGAATGAACTTTGCAAAAGTGGTAAAACACGAGGAGTGCATTTGAAGAGGCATGTGCATAAAAGACGAGATTACGATGAGTTATTCAGGCGCCTACATGACATGACGTAACTTTTGTTTTAGGAAGTGTGTTTTTTGGGTGACAGATGTCTCACCGCTGTGAAGGAATTTCTGCTGTTTTAAAATCCGTGTGGGCTGCATGTGCATGACACATTTAACAACAACAACAGCTACTAAAATACAAATCCAGAGGAAATCAAGGAAAAAGACACAAAATACAAACCAGAAACATGAACACTGAATGAGGATGTGTGTTTTTAGAGTGAATTAACTCCATTCTGTTTGGTTTGAGAAATCCACTGTAAACTGATGAGGAGTTTAACTTCAGATTCTGTCGTTTCAGATTAATTTTAAAGAGTTTGATTTGTCAGGAGAGTGTTCACATACAAGATCTCTGACTAAACATGAAACATGACACTAAATATGGACAGGCCGTCATTTACAAAGACACGAGTCACTTCTACAAGAGTGTTGTGTAAGACAGGAGTGAAGCGGTGAGGATGTTCGATGATAGAATGAGTTTGAGTTCACATGAGTTTGATGAGCATGTGTGTATCAAGTCTTTACAGTGTAAGTATTTATAAGACTGCACACAGAGAGGATGGTTCCTGATCTGAGCTCCAGTCCAGACTCCTGCAGTGTTCACTCAAACCCACAAAGACTCCAAAGTCCGCCTGCAGCAGTACAAAGCAGCACAACATGAATCCCTGGAGGAATAATTCAGAGATTTCTCCTCAGGGACTTTGACTAACACCGCCCCCCTCCCTGCCTCTCTCTCCCTATTGGCCCCGCCCACCTGATTTGACCCCCCTGTATATAAAAAGTTTTCGGTGTGTGGCGGCTCCTGAGTCTCAGACGCCAGAATGGAAACGCTCCTCGGCGCGCTCACTGGCACACCTTCCTCTCCTCCTCTTCCTCAGCAGCTCCTTCTGAATTGCGCAGCGGCACTCCGGCAGCAGCAGCAGCACACCGGGAGTCACGAGCAGCAACGTTTGAGAGACATTTAGAGAGTGAGGATGATGATGATGAGCTTTGTGTTTCTGAGGAGCAGAGAGATGATGGAGTGAAGTTGAAACCTGCTCAGATGGGATTTGGATCCAACTCTTCTTCGTTTGTGGAATATGTGACCTGATGCTGATTAATTCAACTATGACACGTTTTCTCTCGTTTCTCCTCCTGCTGCTGACAGAGGTGAGGCTTTTTGTGTGAGGCTGCTCCAAACTCCAACGCAGAGTCCCTGGACCTGGAATAAAAAGAGCTCTCGACTTCCCGTTTTTGACAGGCTGCTGAGAAAGACCAAAGACACCCAAATAACGATGTAATAAAAAGGTCTCCTGCACGCATCGCAGAGTGAATGGAAACAAACTGCGCCGAGAGGCATCCAAGTGCGTCAGAGCTGAGCGGAGCGCTGTTACGCATGGAGACAGCTCGACACTGAGAGGATTTTTCAGCCCGTCCACGTTTCTTTTTTTATGACTTGAACTCTGACAAAAGAGGGAAAACTTATTCTACTCATCCTCGAACAGAAAATGAGTAGCTGTCTTCTCAGACTAGCACTCTTCGTGGCTTGCGTCCTCACTATCCGCTGCACCGCTGCGCCCGGGACCGAGGCGGAGGTGCACACGGCGTCCCAGGATACCTGCGCGTCCTGCGGCGTGGCTCAGCCGGAGGACCCCGAGTCGGGCCGGCTGAACGTGGACTTCCTGGAGGCGGTGAAGAGGCACATCCTGAGCAGGCTGCAGATGCGAGAGAGGCCCAACATCACTCACCCGGTCTCGAAGGCGGCCATGGTGACGGCGCTGAGGAAGCTGCACGCCGGGAAGCTGCGAGAGGACGGGAGGGTGGAGATCCCCAACCTGGACGGACACCCGATGAGCAACGACGTGCTGGAGGAGAGTTCCGAGATCATCAGCTTTGCAGAGAAAGGTGCGTGGCTGAGACGGGCCGCTCACTTCCACACTGTAGATATCTGACAAAACCTCAAACTCCTCAAAGTTTCAACTTGTTTCTTAAACTCCTAGTGTGATTTTAGCCAACATGACCCACGTTATTTCAGCCAAATTAAGACACTCACTCTAACTTCTCTTTCTCTCTGCTGATCTGAAGAGAAAATCAGATGCAGGACTTTAGTCAAGGTGGATGATTTTCTCTGACAGAAACTGAAGCAGAGAAACCTTCTACTGTTGTGTATTTTGGAGGATAAGAAACAAGATAAAAAATCTGGACAGGGACAGTTTTTCCTCCAAAACTTCACATTTCATCCTAAAATAGAAAAACACCCTCTAATCATCATGCAGACTGCAGAGAGGTTTGAATATATCAGTGGAAAAAACCTCAATCTGAGTCTGAATCAGGTTTATTATTTAACAGCCAAGAAATCAAAAAAGGACCATGGAGAGAAAAACACAAGAGATGTGAAGTCACTAAAACAAGATGTTGAAATTCAAAACAAGGAGAGAAAGAAAAAAACAGTCAAAAAATAAAGACAAAAGTTACGGTTTGATTAAAATTAATATAAAAACTAAGAGTTTTGGTTTATTCCAGATATTTGGAGTAAAAAAAAAACAAAGGCTGCGTCTCCGTGTTTGGTCCTGACTCTGGGGACAGAAAGCAGACCTGTCGTCACCTGACCTGCTGACCTGAGCGGTCTGAGCGAGACCATCAGTCATAGACCTGAACATGAAACCGTTCAGCAGACGTATTTTTACAATCTTTTCTCTGACGGTGTGAAAACCTCCGCACTGGAGCAGTGTGATCCACTCTCTCTGTCTAAGTTAGCGGTGCTCTGAATCAGCTGCAGAGAGACCAGTAAAGAAGCTGTTACAGTAATCAAGTCGACTTAAGATGAATGCATGGAGAAGTTTTTCCAGGTCCTGCAGAGTCCTTAAATATTCTTGAGAATGACTTGATGTGATTTTTCAAATTCCGGTTTAATTCAGGTCTGATGGTGTGTGTGTTGTCTGCAGACTTATGATGACTTATTTTGTTATTTTTAATAATCTGAGCCAGTGGAGGGAGGTGGACGTCAAAGAGAAGAGGCCCCAGGATGGAGCCTTGGGGGACACCACATGTAATTTTTGTCTGAAAGTTCCTGATAGATACAAAACAGTCCGTCTGTCCTATAAGTAAGAACACGATGAAGTGTTCTCATGTGTCCACCAGGCTGAGGGTTTGACTCCTTAATATGAGGCAGGATAGCTGTTGTTAGCATGACATCCAATATCCGACCTGATATTTGTTTCTTAAAGCTCCAGCATGAGGACACCATCCGGCCTCTCTGTGTAAGAGTGTTTGGTTGTCTCTATATACTGAGTGAATGAGAAACAGCGCAGGGATCAGGCTGATGTTGAACAGATGTTGATACAGGGGCCTGAAAACCTGCCAAAATAAAAGCAGAAAGGCTGCAGAGCAGCTCCTGCATCGTTTAGTAAAAGTCACAGGTTTCAGATCAAGATAAACTTTGTCTTCCTCTGCACATTTGTTTCGGTAATCCCGGGCTGTCGTCGTGAAGTGCTTGTTTCCACTCCAACAGCCTCTTTCAGGTCAGGCAAATGTCTCTGCTGGTGATTTGGTCCAAATTAACATCTTGTTTGGTTTGTCCTCAGAATGTTTGGACTGCTTCCTCTTGTACTTTAGAGTCAAATTAAAACTTGTTCTTTTTTTTTGAGGTGGTGAAATATTGACTCTGTTTGTAAAAAGCAGAGGCTCAGGAAAAGGTTGGATCCATCCAGCTGATTAGTTCTGGGATAAGTTTGATGTGCTGCGTTCATGTGCTGGAGAGAAAGTTGGACATCTGGGGCTCCTGGCCTCTGCCTCAGTGTTGTGTTCACACACTCACACACACTCACACACACACTCACACACACAAAGATAAATTTGCGCAGCTTTGCTCGGAGTCGGCGGAGGTTCGCTCCCTGCTGAGAGCCTTTTAGCTTCAGATGTTTCTCTCTGTGGCCGCTGTGTTGCAGACCTTCCACCTCGGCGCCGTGTGTGTGCCAGTTGGCTGCGTTGCCGGCAGCGAGCGGCTGTCAGCGGGGACATGGCACGGCTACAAGGCTCAGAGGAGCGCTTTAGTCTGAAAGGAGCTGAAAATGATCAACGACACCACCTGCTTCGCCCACGTGTGTCCGGCCGCTGCGTGGAAACATCTGCTTTCCACATCAACAAAAGGCTGCTCCATGTCAGACCTGTTATTGTGAACCTGTGTGTGTGTGTGTATGTGTGTGTGTGTCCGAGTATCATTTGTCCTGGTTTGTGTGTCTCTATTGTGTCTTTATATGCTGGTTTGTGTGAGTTATTGATGTTTTTCTTAACTTGAAGTGTCCATGTTGGCGTGTGCAAGCATCCACACTCAGGATAGTGTGTATTTGTGTGTATTTATGCCTGTGTGTGTGTGTGTGTTGAGTCAGTCCCCTCAGTATAAGGTCAGAGCTTTTGTGTTGAGCGCCGTGCAGCCTGAATGCAGATTGACGGGCTGAAACCCTGCAGCCTGGCACCCTATTACCATTCACAGTGTGTGTGTGTGTGTTAGTGTGTGAGTGTAAGTATCAGTGTGTGCGTGTGTGTGAGTGTATTGCACAAACGTTAGTCATGAATGTGACTTGTGTGTCCAAACTTCTGAGAAAAATCCATAAAGTTTATCTTCCTGACGGGAGCTGTTGTAGTTGTTGTTGTATTTCCGGACAGCGCGGTCCAGACGTGTCATGTGGTCATCTGGACCCAAACTCATCCTGGAGCAGCTGCGGCGCCGTCAGTTGGACTACCTGGTCATCTTTAGCAAAGTTTGTCAGTTAGTCTTGAAGGGGATCGTGAATCTCCAGACATGAACCTCCTGTTATCCATAAACTCTGACTGAAGATCCAAAACAGAGATAGATATTTTTGCAATGATTCCTCCTCACAGTCGAGGATGAAATCTGACGTCTCTGACTTTCTAATGATTTGACAATCTCTCAGTTGTTAACACACCCAACAGAAAGTAAAAGGGATGTTATTAAAGGGATAATTTAGGGTCAAACACACCGTAACACTAAGTTAGACCCCCCCTCCAGAGATGAATGTTGACAACCGCTTGCTTCTCTAGTTATACTAACTTTAGAAACGACCGCAGGATAGCAATACAGAGAGCCAAAACACTACTCTCTTCCAGCAGCCGCTTGTTTGTAGCGAGACCTCGGCCGAGTCCATCAACTACAGCGGGGTGACGCAGCTCAAGGAAGAACATTTATGATAATTTCTTTATCATTTCCTTGAAGTAATAATCATCATATTAATCATTTTTCACTGCAGACGCGGTAGTTCTTCTGCCTTAGCGTCTCGGTCTGATTGTATTTCCATGAAGAAATGATCATAAATGTTCTTCCTTGAGCTGCGTCACCCCGCTGTAGTCCGTAATGGACTGGCCTGAGGTCTCCATACAAACAAGCGGCTGCTGGAAGAGGGCAGGTGAGTTGTGTTTAGTCTCTTTGCTAAAGAAATGAGTCAAAGTTAAAAAGATGTTTGGTGTCTAGTACTATGGCTGTGACCCTATATGTCCTGTTGATGAAGTTAGGTCCTGTTCTGAGCATTATTTGTGTCTATAGAGTGGTGTTTTGGTTGAGCGCGTGGCTCTCTGTATTGCTATCCTGCGGTCGTTACTAAAGTTGGTATAACTAGAGAAGGAAGCAGTCGGCAACATTCATCTCTGGAGTGGGTGTCTAACTCGTGTTATGGTGTGTTTGACCCAAACTTAATTTTACTCCGGAATATCCCTTTAAGTCATGTAAAATCTGAATGAATCAGGCTGGAAATTTGTGACATTGTGTGGTTTCCTACATGGTGCTAAAATGCAGAAATGAAAAAGCAGAAAGAAAGAGAAAAACTCGGTCCAGCTGTGTCCACATCTGATGGCATTCTGTCAAATCACAGATGACTTTGCTTTTTTTCCCTGATTTCATGGTGACAGTGTGGAAGTTCACAGTGAGAAGGAAGATGAAAACACTTCCTGCAGCCACATATTTCTAATGTTGAGTTTTTAATAATAGTATCAGAGTTAAAAAAAAAACTTCCATGGTAACGGTATCAATATCAGCCAATGTGTGGTTTAAATGAACATTTTCATTGTCAATCACGGTGAATTTGGCATCTTCATGATGTTGGTCCTCGTCTTGTCTTTACCATTCAGGGTTGACAACCTTTGTCCGAGGGGTTTTGACCAATCAGAATCAAGTTGACGCCTCTGCTGTCCTCTTGTTATCATCGTTTATTCAAATATGGCGTGTTACGACTCTGTCTGTCGGTTACTGCTCTGCATTGTCTCCCTGAGAGTGTTTATGTGCGCAGACCAAACATGGTTGTCATTGTGTCCCGAAGTTCACGTCAGGAATCCACCGTCTCCTCATTACCGTTTTCCCACAATGCAGCTGGTGGTCTGTGACAAATGAAGTCCCTGTAAAACAACAATTAACCATCCTCCTCCTCGACCTCATTGTACGGCAGCCACTCCCTCATTCAGGGAGTCAAACAGAGCCGTCCTGCAGGGCGTGTGTTTACATCCTCATCACAGAGACGAGTCTTTGATGGCTTCAGCGTGGAGGAGCGAGGAGTGAGCTTTTTGAGTTTGACTGAATACGTGGTGACAGACAAACGCGGTCCACCTGTGAGATCTGCACCTGCAGCTCAACCAGAGCTTTGTTTTCACTCTGAAGGAGGTACTTAACGTTATCGTTCTTGATTTGAATCTCTGCTGGGTGACAGCGGAGAGTTTGTGATCTGCTGAGTAATGTCTCAGAGATTACCTCGTCTCCTGGTGGATGAGGTAACGCATGTGAGGGCTCGCTTTGATAGCAGATATCACTGTCAGCCGCCTCCAAAACCCTGGATAATTTTACTCATTTCCATTTAGTCACAGAGCTGAAAGCACCTGCAGGCGTCTCCTGAAAGCTTTTATGATCCTCAGTCGGCTCTCCGCCTCTCTCTGACACACAGGATACTTTCTGTTAGCCTGAAAATCTCAAGTTTATCGGCTGAACACCACGTCCTCCCGCGCTCTGATTTCCCATGAACTGTCAGTGTTAATTTCTCTGTGGTGGCTTCTCTCGGAGTTCAGGAGGTTCACACCTGATGAAGGGCTCTAATCTTCTCCACCTGACAGCTGTCAATCAGCTCCTGCGCCTGCTCTCCTCACATCGCAGCAGAGAGCTCAGAGAGATTCAGGGTCTGTATCTGCAAAGATGAAGGTATCTGGTCTGATCCTGCGGGGAAATAAGGAGGCCGGTGCAGAGAGGGTTTATGAGGCCGTCAAGTATCCTGAGAAACTCTTTCCATTTCTCAGCTTGAGATCTAAACTTGTTCCTTCTTTAGTGGAAACACAGGCTTTCAAACAAACACTGGAGCAGACCAGAAAGGAGAAAAACTAAAGAGAAGAAAGGAGAAAGATGCTGTTCATCCATTCTCAGGATGTGATAGTCTCGAATTAAACCGTCTCTGAGTATTTTCAGTTTGTAAAACTATCTGAGAACCGGTGAACATCAGGGAAATGTTTGTTCCTCCTGAGTTGTCCTCGTCCTCCTGGCTCTGCAACCAGCTCTCAGGCCTCGCTGTGAGGACAGTTAGGCTCCATAAGATCTCATTTTCAGGCAGCATTCAACCCGAAGCCTTTGAAGCTTTGTGTGCCACACTCTTAAGCTCCCCCTCCTCCTCCTTCTTCTTCTCATATTTGAGCCGAGCTGGACGCCAAGTGGCCCTGCGCCCAAAGCCTCGCTGTCACAGTCCACAGGATCTGTGCTGCCACCCTGAACTGAGGGAGGCCGGGGTCTGTTGTCTTACTCTGAGCTCTTCCCAAGTTCACCTAAAGCACTGACCTCCTGCCCCTCCAGAGAATAGTCCTCTTTGAGCGGTCTGGTCTGAAAAGAGTTCTGAAGAAGAGCTGACCTCTCTGTTGGTCCTGAGGATGTTCAGTTCTTGGTGGTTGTCTCTGTCTCAGTTTAATAATCTAACCCTCTCTGTGTTTGTTTCTGCTCCTCAGATGATCTGGTGACGTCCAAGTCCAGCCTGTTCTTCCAGATCTCCAATGAGGGGAACCAGAACCTGTTTGTGACACAGGCCACCCTCTGGCTCTACTTCAAGCTGCAGCCGTCTCCTCTGGAGGTGCGTCCCAGGCGGAAGGTGACGGTGAAGGTGTACTACCAGGAGCCCGGCCTCGGCAGCAAGTGGAACCTGGTGGAGAAACGGGTGGAGCTGAAGCGCAGCGGCTGGCACACCTTCATGCTGACCGACGCCGTGCGGTTGGTGTTTGAGAAGGGCGACCGGCGGCAGAACCTGGACGTGCGATGTGAGGGCTGCGAGACGGACGGCGTCGTGCCCATCCTGCTGAACCACAACGACGAGTCCCACCGGCCTTTCCTGGTGGTTCAGGCCCGGCAGGCTGACAACAAACACCGGATCCGCAAAAGGGGTCTGGAGTGTGACGGCAGCAGCAGCCTGTGCTGCCGGCAGCAGTTCTACATAGACTTCCGGCTCATCGGCTGGAACGACTGGATCATCGCGCCGTCCGGTTACTTTGGGAACTATTGCGAGGGGAACTGTCCGGCCTACATGGCGGGCGTCCCTGGTTCTGCCTCCTCTTTCCACACAGCCGTGGTGAACCAGTACCGTATACGAGGCATGAGCCCGGGCTCCATGAACTCCTGCTGCATCCCCACAAAGCTGAGCACCATGTCCATGCTCTACTTCGACGACGAGTACAATATCGTCAAGCGGGACGTTCCGAACATGATCGTGGAGGAGTGCGGCTGTGCTTGAGTCTGTTGTTGTTCCTGTTAATTTAAGGTGGAAGAACTGAACTGAACCTGACTGTCAACAGATTCACAAGATATTACCGCCACCACCACAAAAAAAAAGAATATAAAAGCAGAATATTTATAGACGATGGAGAAAACATGCGCACACAACCTCATCCACACACATATCTACACACCTACATCATGTATGCCTGCACAAAACCTGTATATATATTTATGTTTGTTGATATATTTGTTTTATTCTCTGGTGGAAGACTGTTTCTGTCGGGCTCCATCAGACGGACGTGAAGAGTTCTCTTCCAAACCTTTCAAACATCCGATCTCTGAAGTTTCTGCAAATAATAATATCTCTGAGATAGTCCGGACTTGGTCCACTAAAGTGTTCAAGACTTACGAAAGCTACTAGCCTTTTAAAGCAGCGTTGTCTGATGTCTTCTTCTGCTACTCAGTCAGAGCACGAACCTCTAGTATCTTCTTTGGGATTAAACTCTTCATGCGTAGAAAACAAACAGCCTGGAAGGTGAGGACGCCGTCTCCAGAGGAGCCTTACAGGAGTCACAGGGGAGCGTGAGCTGATCCTCATACGCCTCCTTCAAGAGCAGCGTGTGTGCAAACACGTGGGACAAGCACTATAAATGTTCACACACCGACGTACAGCACTTCAGGCCAGGAGTCACATCGTAGTAAAACCGCCTCCGAACAGATATTCACTCTTGGATTCAGTCCAGAAATCCACAGAAACACCAACACAGCTCAGACTGATCATCAGTTTCAATTAAAACCAAGTCCACCTCCAAAAGGACTATGAAAGTCTGTTAAAGGGGGACCTACAAATATAAACAATCACTCCTGAAACTAAAAAAAAAAAAGATGAAACTTTGGAGGTTCTATTTTTGGTGGAAACCGTAGCTCAGATTTTTCCTGATGACCTCCGCAGTGTTCGGATGTTGCAAAGATAAAATAAAAGGGTTTCAAATCATTTATCACCGCCCACTGACGTCTGACTACCTTTAAATGTCCAATTTGACTCAAAATTAATCCGTGTCGCTCAAGTCCAAACAAAGAAACCTGGTTGGCCTCCACTCTTCAGATTTTGTCTGTTAAAGTAAAAAAAAAACAACTTTCTGTTCATGTTTGGATAATTTTACAAAACGAATACCACCACCTTCCCCTTTAAGGCGAAGGTCTGACCCCCCACAGAATCTTCTGTCCCTCTTTGAGTCCGCGAAAGTGAAAAGTTGCCATATTGCTCGGTTCAGAGATGGTGCAGCTTGGCACTTCCCCCCGACGCACACTTTGAAAGCACTTGCAGATTGAAATGCCTTTAATTAGCCCTTCATCAGTCCTTGGAAAAGAAATAAGTGCCGCATGAGCTATGCAATGTATAGTATTTAGCTGAGAACCAGGCGAGCTGAACCGAAGCTCCTCTGACAAACTATCACCAATACTTGAAATGTAAGAGTGGCGAGCGGAGGCGGGTCGGGCTCAGGCGAGGAGGGGGAAAGAGGCGGCGAGTTCTGACTCTGATGGATGAGGTTTAACCCCCAAAAAAGTCAAAGCCTGAAAAACGCAGCGAGTCGTTGACCAAAGCCGCTCTCTCCGTCTGTTTGGTGATAAAAATCAAGCGTCTCCTCCATGTTTGGATTATTTATGACTGAGTGGTTTCGAAAGTATATTCTGAGAGAAATCTTATCTCTCCCCTGATCATAGGCGCTGGAAATGTTTCTGTTCCAGTCCGACTTTCCAGGTGTTACGTCATAAAAACCGTAAATCTCTTGGAGCGTAACTCGAGTTTTTAGGAAAAGAGCGAGGAGAGCGGGGTCGAGCGGCGTCTTTCAGTGGAAAAGAATCGACTGTTAGATCGAGTTTTCAGATCCAGCCTCGGCTGCCTGAATGCAATCATCAGCTGAAACCTCAGAGATTTAAAAAAGGCTAACTGGGGCTAACTTTGACCCAGATGGGACGCTCCAATAGTGGTTTTTTGGCGTCTTAATGAACGAGTCCCGCTGGAGTTCCCATCATGGCCTGTTTGGCACCGAAACACACTTTGAGACAGTTTCAGGTCTCCGTCTCTTTGACATCACTTTGATATTTTCAGGGCGATCACTTCAGCGACCCGCTCTCTCTCTCTCTCTCTTTCTCTCTCTGCTTCAGTAAAGAGGCTCAGGTACGACATCTGATCTCACCGCCTCTTTCCCGCCTTTTCGGTCCGACGCTCCACTTTGACTTCGCCGCCGCTGAAATCTTTCACTCGCTCGCTCCTGGAAAGCGAGAAGCTTGTTAGAATATTTGCACTGAGGAGCTGCGTGACTAGAAATAATAATAATAATAATAAAAAAAGGAGAAATGAATAGAAACTGCCATTGATATAAAAAGTTATTTTTATAGAAACAATTTGAGCTCTGTTCAAATGTATTATACCTAATCATGGAACCAAAGAGGCCAAGAGGGTTAGCTGTTGAAAGATGGCGATGCCGTCCTGTTTTTGTTGTAAATGACTTTGTGACAGTTCAAGAGGCCTAAACACTGTATCAGGGTATAATATCACAACATCATCATCATCATCATCGTCATCAGCATCTTAATCTCTTTTCTATTTTGTACCTAGACATGGAATATTTCATATTTTTTCATCAAATTACTAAAATATTCCTAGTTTTCTTTCTTCTTTTGTTAGCTCTGCTTTCAGATCCATTTAGAGTAAAAGCACACGCCATCTGATCCCTGTACAGTTGATGTAACATATGAATATGCTTTTCAAATATTTTGTTCTTTGTTATTGTTGGAAATAAATTTCTTATTACCATTTGTATGGACTTGTTGTTGTCCTTTTGAGACTTTAGAGAAATTCTTAGAACCTGAAATAAATCAGTTCATCCAGACGTGACTGTCCTTACTTAGAGCAGGATACATGAACATGAATTCTTTTACTTTACCCAGATTATAAGTTTCTGAATTATCACGTCATATTGTTTCAGACAGATACAGTTTATGTGTACAAATGAAAGTCCAAATTAAGAGAAACTTGATCAGGATTTTAAAGTCCAATCTCTCGCTTCCTGGTTGGTTCGTTAGTTTCCTCGGGGCTTGGAGTCAAAACAGACCCCTCTATAGCGCTCTATCTGAGTCCACACAAAGGCTCCTAACAGGCCTAATTATACCCACACAAATCTCAGCAGGGCTTCAAGGGTCAAGTGTTTGAGCTCCGGGGTCACACTCTGCGTGATTGGGAGGAGAGAAGCAATCGGCTAAAAAACGACACTGTGTTTGCAATTAACACAACGTCTGTGTTTGGACCCTGGGCTGAACAGAAAAGCGGAAAAATGTGAGAAAATACGAGCAGTAGATGACACTGACACACAGGCGTCAGTCAAACATGTACGAGCTCCTATAAATAATCCGATAAGTGTCGTCAGAGTCATGCAAATGTTGTTAAGTGCTGCCAAATGATACGTTTAGGGAGAGAACAGACGCCCCTTAATCTGACAGGTGATGAGCAGGAGAGTCAGCTCTGACAATGTCTGCTGCTGCTGCTGCTGCTGCTCAGGAATGAGGGAGAGAGAGAGAGAGAGAGAGAGAGAGAGAGAGAGAGAGAGAGAGAGGGAGAGAGAGAGAGAGAGAGGGGAGGGGGGGACGAAAACTGAGGAGTGAAGAACAGGAAGAAAAGTTGTGTATTTTTACTTTCTTCATGTATTTTCTCTCCAACAGAAACAAACTTTACAACTGAGGATCTGACGGTGATTTCTAAAGCTGTAATGTAGTTCAGACTTTTATCTTCCTCTCAGGATTAAATGTTTAAAATAAAATGCAGAATACTTTGGTGAATACATTGTGATGGTGTTAACTCCGTCCACACACATGCAGACATCTCTTTAAAACAGTTTAAGGTCACTGGAAACGTACGTTCTGGAAAAGGCCTTCAGAGGTGGAGCTTTCTGAAAACGACGTTTGTTTAGTTTAGTTTAGTTTTTCTGTCATATTTGAGCACATTGATTTTTTTGTTATATGTTCTAGTTTGCATCAACCAAGATGGAGGCAACCGGTTTGTTTACATCTGCATGAGCTGGCGCTTTGCACAACGCTCTTCTTGTAGTACCTGAAGACACGTTATGGTCAAACTGATGATAAAAGCAAATAAAAACTATAAATCAGTACGATAAGAACTCACGACAAAAGCAGAAACTACCTCCCAGCTGTAAACTTCAGGTCGGCGAGGTTTATGGATTATACTGCAGCCGGTCAGCAGGGGGAGCTCTCAATCTTTTGGCTCCACAGCTGGTAAACACTTAAAGGGTGTCCACTTCTATTTAAGACCTAAGGTTACTTTACACCTGATAACATAAAGGCTTTTAATGACAGCACCAACTAGTGGCCATCAGAGGAGCTGCACCCCGAGCTGCACACTGTGGTGGTGTCCTAGTTCTTAGAAATGTCTCATCAAAACAAAAATCAGCCTTAAAGTTGGCGCATTCCTCGGCACAAATCCAAACCAGAGAGAGGCGGCGTGATGAGCCTGTTTTTGTCGAAGTGACGAGAGTGTCGGGGTATTACGGAGAGATTTAGTCAATTATAGAGCGGCGGTTTGTGGTGATGTCAGGTGACACACCAGAGCTGTTTAATCTTGTTGCTAAGCGTTAGCAGCTCCTCCACAAAACGGAGGAATGTTAATGAGCAGAGCGCCGGGGGGGCCGTGCTGCGTGACACACACTTACCTGGGGTGAACATGCTGTCGTGAAGTTTGGCAGGTTAAAACTCTTATGTGTTTTGACAGTGTGGTTAGTTCTGACAGACACTTGAGCGGGACTGAATGTGCTTTCTCTGCTGATTTACAGCCAATGAGAGCAGATGTAATTTGTTTCAGGACTGGGAGGGTTATGGACCATCAATCACGCTTTTACAGCATGTGACAGCGTACAGTACCTGTCGCCCCGAGGGAAGGATTGGAAAGTGCAGCGAAACAGGAGCTGTCATCTCAGCAGACTCTCATCAAATCTGATCTTGATTGCATGTGTCCTGTAGAGACACAGATGAGAAATAAAGACACTGAAGAGGTCATTATCATAATTCATCAAGTCTAGATAAACAGCTGGAGAACGAACACGTCATCTATCAATGTTGAAGAAAAAAACAAACTCAAAAATAAGACGAGCATTCGTAGAATATCCAAAATGTTTCAGGAGACATTTGGACGATTGTTGAACTCTTGCTCTACACTGTAGACAAATGTTCACGACACAGAAGAGGGGGAGCTACGATGTTCGCTCAACGGTCTCATTTCAACTCAAAATAACTGTAAGTCATCGTAGAGTCGGCTCGCTTGGCGGGTTTTTATTGACAGTATGGTAGGGTTTGATTTGTAGCCTTCAAGATGTTCCTCATTCAAGCAATCCCAAAGACACGGGCGATCGGTAAACAAGAGCATGATGGAGCACACTTTGCTAGTTAAAGGGATATTCTGGTGTAAATTTAAGTTAGGGTCAAACACACGTAACACAGAGTAAGACACCCCGTCAAGAGATGAATGTTACTGATGTTACTAAAGTTGGTATAACTAGAAAAGTAAGCGGTCGGCAGCATTCATCTCTGGAGGGGGGGTCTAACTCAGTGTGTTTGACCCTAAGTTAATTTTAGGCCGGAATATCCCTTTAAGCAGCACACATTTTAGGGTTCATAGAGGTCGTTTTAAGTCCCTTGCTCCCTCAAAGACGTACCTTTGGCTCAGAGTGACTCACACCAGTTAAACCAATCAGAGAGGCTGGTAGAGAAGCTTGTAGAGTTCGTCAGATGATTGTTCTTCTGCGTTTTCTTTGGGGGACACCAACGCAGTCATGTTCCTGCCAATTCGACATGCAAGCGTCTTGGGTCATGGATCGGTTTGCAGCTCCTTCCACTGATGTTCCCTTAGATTATCAGGAAGATTTATGAGGTTTTCCATCTCACGCTTTGTCAGAGAGAGTCTCAAGGCCGAGTGCGGCTCGATGAAATCAAAGAGGCGTTTTCAATTGTTGGAGGAGAATTCAAGATGTAAGAAACTGGGATGTCGTACTTTCCCATCGCTGCAAACAACAGTCCTGGAAGTTGAGTTTTCTTCAAATGCACTGCGGCGCCCCCTGTGAGAGGCGCCGTTAGCTTCAGAGTCACTTCTTATCCTTTGTTTGGGGCAGAAACTCACTAGAGTGTTGGAAATCTCTCTGTGAGGGTCAAACTGTTGTGCTTTTCCTTCACCTGATGACTCCTCACTGTTTGGCAGAGTAATACGGTATTTTGTGTGTGGGCCTACAGCCTATGACCTTTGACCTCTAATCTTTTCGTTTATGTATTTTTTTTGGTTCTGGGTTTTCTATTAAATATTTCTTCGAGACGGTGTGATCAGATCAGACGGTGCCAGCTTTAATAAAGTCTTTCCAACTTTGAACAGAGTTGTCATGAAATGAGGTTCGGATGTTCAACTGTCCAATAAACTCGCTAAGAATCAACAAGTTGTGAAAGTTAAGAAATTAAAAGTTTCAACATCTTTTAATCCACAGAGAAAACATTTGTTTATGATTTTAAAGCTGGACGTAGCTGGTAACGGAGTATTTTTCCACTGTGGGGTTCAAGTATTTGAGGATTTCGGTCCACTGCTGGCTGCTTTGAGGACGATTTTCGCATTTTTCTCGACTCCAGCACAGTGAAAAGGGGTAGAGAGAGCATAAACACGTCTAAGTGGCTTTTGACATTTTACACAAGTGGAAACTGTCTGAAAGCATCACGTGAAGTGGACGTCCAGAGGAGAAGATGACCGGAGCTGTGCAGCAGATCAGAGCGGTGAGGAGCAGCTGCAGGGAGATGAGGAGCAGAGGGATCTCGCTCAGAGGGGCGTCGCCTCTCGTTCTCATGTATTTATGGTGGAGAATGACTGGAATGTTCCACTGCACTTATCAAAATATGCATGTTACATCTCCAGGTTTTCTTTCACCCGAGGCATCAGCTGGCAGCTTCGTCCTCACCTTATCTCCTTCTGCGGTTTCTTCGACACGCCGTGAAATTGAAGTGAAGGTGGGAGCTGACACGTTCACCAGCTCTCCTCTGGTTCAGGCTGTCCTCCGGGGGGAAAGTCGAACGAGATGATTGATGGCTCAGACTCATAACAAATGAGGGTCAGGGACAGTTTTACTCACTGGTTTCTCTGCACTTTAACTGCTTCTTTAGATCCGCTCGTCTTTTTACGGCACATTATTTCAGGTGAAACGGTCGAAGGAGGAGGAACTCCAACGTCTATGAAGCAAAAAACATAAAAATGATCTGAACTGCTGCTCTCTAAACCTAAAAAGCCCTTCTCTGCGAGGAAAATACAGAAACAGATTTCAAGTTCAGACTCATAACTTCATCAAATCCAACTATTCTGGCTTTAGTCTTAAATATCTGACAATTTTTACTTACTTCCTGCCACTGCCGGTGTTCCCCTGGGCTCTGCTCTGGGGCCCCGTCTGTTTATCATCTATCTACTTCCTCTTGGCCGTATCTTTCCTACATTTGACATCCTTTCCCTCCCTTTTCCGTCTCTGATTGCTGACATGAAATCCGAACCAGGTTCTTCGGAAACTTTCTTAAATTAAAGGGTGATGAATCAAGTCTGACCGTTTCTTCCTCCCCACAGGTGAATCTGATCTGTTTGTCTTCACCCAAACTCTGAAAATGTTTTATTATCATTATTTTTCTCCTCTTGAATCTTCTCATTAAACTGAATTCGCCTCTCTTTTCAGAAGGGATTATATGTCAGGATTGTAGCTGTTTAGGCCATAAAACCAAAGACCAGGAATAAAATGTGAA